AAAGGGAGGGGCATGCCAGAGAGAATCAGTGAGTATCTGTATTCTCACAGTCACTGCAGATAGGTCAGTTGCAGAAGAAATATTTATGTTGGCATAACATAAGGAATAATAATAATAATAACCAGCAACACTTATAGTATACTTTGTGCTGGGCATTGGTCTGAATGCTTTAAATATATTTAAATCTCTTTAATGTCCACATCAACCTATGGGTTATTATGGACATTAAAGGATTATTATTATTCCAATTTTTCAAATGAGGAAACTCTGGCACAGAGAAGTTAAATAAACTGAAATTGCCCAAGGTCACAGGTAATAAGTGATGGAGGGGGTCCTGTCATCTAGAACAGTGACTTGGAGTCATAAATAAAATGAAATTAGAAGAACTGGAAACTCAACAACTTTCCAACTATTAATATTCATGCCACAACTCCTTCACTCATTGTCCTGATAGGAGTGCTGGTCTACAGAGCCTAGGAATAGAAGTTATGACATGGAAGCCCCCAACTGGGATACTTATGATAAGATGAAATGTGGGAGCCGACTGTCATCACCCGTTAGCTCTCCTCACCTCTTTTGTGGAGAGAGTGACATTGAAAGCCCCAGCTGCAAAATGAGCGAAGGAAGCAGATTTAAAGAAATATTCAGAGATTCCAATGTAGAGCATAGAGTCGCTGCGTTCTGGGAGCTCAAAAGGCACTGGGGAGAAGGGAGGATCGGCAAGGTTTTCCAGTGGGTAGAATGCGCCCTGTGGGAAGAGAGAGACAGGCCAGTGTGTTAGGTGAAGGCTCAAATATGCAGGACACAAGAAGGTGGACCTTCTCAGCTCAGGTCAGAATAAGAAAAATTGTGGAAACTCAGTAGAGAAGAAAAAACGATAAGGCCTTCTGACTCCTTGACTAGTGACCATGTTTCAAAGCTGTGACGACTTCTTGAGCATACATCTGGGCATGTCTGTCCACTCTGGGATGTAACCTAGTGAGAAGTTCCTTGTCGGTCCTCTTCTCCAGGAAAGAAAGGCAGGTGCATTTAGCTGGAGGCGACAGTTCTGAATACTTCCTGAGGTGCCAGGTGGAGATGTCAAACCCCTGACCTTCAAACCCTGTGATTGCTGAGTGCCTGGGGTGTCACAGAAAGACTCAGGAGGCTCCAGAACTCTATATGATTTAATGCATTCAGCAGATATTGATTGAGTTGAACTGGGTTGAACACGGCACCTTGAACTGCACCTGCATCACGTGTTCATGAATGCACATGGCTTTCAGAAATCTAGGAGAAAATCCATGGCATTTCTAATGGCCCTCATTAGCCACTGGTTGTCTTGTGTAATGTTTAACTAATGTGAAGGACTCTGAGTGATTGAAATATAAGCCAATATGCATTTTTAAAAACAATGATATTAACTTTGGGGTAAAACTAAATATAAGGGCAGTTAGTCACTTTCCCAGAATCAGCAATCGCCATTTTCATGTGCTAATCGCCCCAGGAGAGGTTGGCAGCTCGCAGTTAAATGGACTAATCTGAGAGGAACAGAAGTACTAACATGTACAATTACTGATGTGGTAAGTCCTAATAATTGCAGACCACTCTACCTGCTGCCTTCTAGCCTCACCCCACTCCCAGAGGCAAAGGCATCATGCGACTCTTCTTAAGGAAAACAGACATGCCTTGTGCAATCCAAACCATCGCTGACCGATCAAGGAAATGTTCAAGAGTCTTTCGAAAGAGCATACACATCAGGGATTGTTTCAAAGAAAATGAAATTATTTGAAGAGCATGTACCGTATTTGCCGGTGTATAAGACGATTTTTTGGCCCTGAAAAATATGCCTCCAAGTGGGGGGTCGTCTTATACGCCAGGTACACTTCAGATAGACTGCCCATAGTGCTTGCCCCGTGCCATAGTGGCCTTAGCCTCACCCCACTCCCAGAGGCAAAGGCATCATGCGACTCTTCTTGAGGAAAACAGACATGCCTTGTGCAATCCAAACCATCGCTGACTGATCAAGGAAATGTTCAAGAGTCTTTCGAAAGAGCATACACATCAGGGATTGTTTCAAAGAAAATGAAATTATTTGAAGAGCATGTAGATATATTTCCTCTGCACACATTTGTTCCCTGAATATAGTCGACCCTCTGTATCCTTAGGTTCTACTTCAACCAACCGCAGACAAAAATATTTGAAAACAAAGTTACATCGTTGCTGAGGGGCACTATGTAGTTAGGCCTCTGATGGTTGTGTCGCACGGAGCATGTACATTTTCTTTTAACAACCATCTACATAGCATTTATGTTGTATTAGGTTATGTAAGTAATCTAGCAATGATTTAAAGTTACAGGATTCTGTGCATGGGTTAATTGCAAATACCTTGCCATTTATGTAAGGGACTTGAGAATGGAAGATTTTGGTCTGGGAAGGTGTCCCGTAACCAATCCTTGGAGGACACAGAGGGGGCACTTGTACTGGCTGTTGGTAGCCAGGATGAGGACTCTGATGATGATGATAAAGTTACCTTCAAATTCAGGTCAATGTAGTTCTCAGTAATTTCTGGAGAACTCATTAGCGAATAATCCAGCAGGGTATAGTTGTCAATCTTGGTTAAAACTAAAACAGATAAAGCAAAAAGAAAATTTACGTTCATTAAAAGCATAATATATGATTAATGTATATCTAGAACAAATTTTTAAAAATTTAAGAATTTAAAATTATATTGTTTAAAAGAATAATTACCCTGTTTCAT